CATCCGTCCATCCATCCATCCATCCATCCATCCATCCATCCATCCATCCATCCCTTCATCCATCTCTCCATCCCTCCACCCATCCATCACGGCAGTGATGCTGCCCTTCTCTCCCACTCCTCCATCCTTTTTCCTCCCCCCCCAGTCTTGACAAAAATAAGCAAATAAGCAAATAAATAAATAAATAAATAAATAAATAAATAAATAAATAAATAAATAAAAATCAGTGCTGGCAGTTCATTGGTTTCCATGACAACCCCATTTCCTGGTCCTTTCCCCTGCGGTCCCCAAGGCTCTGCAGGGATGGGTGCCCATCCGCGGGCTTGGAGCAGAGGAGAGGAAATCCATTCTGTGGGATTCTTGGGAATGAGGTGAAGCAGTGGGGGCTGCGTTGTGTCTGCATGTCCCTGCTCTCCCCCCAGGGATGTCCCCCATCCCCCCCCTTTTGGTTTTTCATCCCTTTCTGTGGATGGGTCGTGCTTTCATTTGCAGCTTGAGGTTGGGGACTCAGCACGGCCATAGGGCTGCATTAATGCACACTGCCAGGTTGGGCACTGTGGGGGTTTAGGAGGGAGTGAGGACCTGGGGGTGGCACTGAGCTGGGGGGGGGTTGCATGCTGTGCAGTGCAGGGACACAGCTGCTGTTTGCCCACACCTCCATCAGCACTTTTTTCTCTGTCCTTTAATGTCAGGAGGCTCTGACTTTGGGGGAGAGCAGACCCCAAAGCGCCCATCCCTCATCCCAGTGCAGCGATGCTCCTTGTCCTCCCAAGGAGTTGTCCTCCACCTGGAGCTCATAGACATCATTTCCACACTGCATCCCTTCTCGCACCCCCCCACTCCCCCCCCCCAGCACATCCCCATCCCCGTGCTGCACTGTCAGAGATTGGGATTCACACCTCTGGAGGGGACAACGGCACTGTGCCCATCTTTGCGGCGTGTGATGTCCCCTTTTCTTTTCTCCTGTTTGAAAATCACGGGGGAAAAAAAAATAATCAGTTTGTCACCTGCAACCTTTGTGAGGCACCGGTGGGGGGGGGGGGCGGGCTGAGCTGCAGGGATGCCATCCTGCAGTGCCACACTGTCACCCCCCCCACCCCTCCCTGGATGATAAAAATGCATCTGCTCAGATAACCCCGACCCAAAGCTTTGCTTGGAAGGGTGAAACGCATTGCATGGAAAATTACAGGATTTACACGATTACAGAAGGTTTTCTTTCCCAAAAGTAGACCCGGTGTGTGGTGATTCCCCTGCTTTGCTGACTCCACACAGCCTTCCCAAAATCTCAGCGTTGGCTCTGCCTCCAAATCCTGACACAAAGCAGCCACCTCCCCCCTCCCCCAATTGGGTTAACCCCCATCCCTGTGCTTTGCATAGGGGTTAGGCGACCTAAATAATAATGGGAGAAAGATTGCAGCAGCGTTGGCTTCCCCACCTGACGCTGTGCTCCTCCCCACCAGGAGCTCTCAGGCACTCAGCAATTAAGAGCAGCAGATTGATCTGTAGTGATCTCATGAAGCACCAGCACTTGAGGGAGCCGGGCTGAGCGTGCACCCATTTATTTATCAGGGTTTGCCTTGCTCTGGGCTGGGAGCTCACCCTGATGTCCAGTCCCCACATCCTCTGCATCCCATCCATGCCATCCACACAACGGGACAGGATTTGTGCTGCATAAGGGAAACGTTTGTGTGTTTTCCAGCCTGCCTGCATTGCCCCCAAAGCAGCATCTCAGGATGCCCTGGCCGTGCACAGCCAGCACAGCACGGCCCATGCTGACCCTACAGCTTTGTTTTGCTCCCTCTGCACCTCTACTCCATTCCCCCGAGCTCCGGATGAACCCCAACACGGGGCTGCACCATCCAGCAGCCACCCTGCCTTCCGAATCCAGCTCAGAAACAGCTCGTCCTGCAGCAAACCCGCAGCAGCCGATTTGCTCCGAGTCTGGCAGGGTCAGCAAGCGCCAAGGCTGCAAACGTTAATTAATTGCACTCTGCAAAGCAGCCTGGCCTTGCAGGGTGTGTAATTAGGGAGTTAACCGCCGCTGCTAGAGGGTTGTGGAGCTGAGCTCCTGCTTTTGGTGGTGGTGGGGGGGGTGGGGTTGGTTTGGGGTTGCTGCCCTGCGGTCCCAATGTCACCTGCTGGGCCGGCACCACCTCGCTGCCCTCCACCTGGCAGCAGGACGTGGTATTTCCCGAGGGCAGAGAGCTGAGTGCGTGCGGAGCGGAACTGCTGGCGAAGGGCGATGAGGAGCCGCGGAGCCTCGGGGGGAATCGTGCGCTGATGCTCTTACAGCGCTGCTGCCGCCGCCGTGACTCATCCCGGCCCGCCGAGGATGCGCTTGGATACGGAGGAAAGGAGAAGCACAAGGAGAGAGAATAATTGCTCTGCTCCGAAGGCACCTCCGCTATGGAGAGGGAAATTCGACCCTCTGTCGAATTCCCGTGGCTCCGACCCCACGGCCACGTGCTGCCGGCCCAGAGCCACCTCCCCCAGTGCCACCACCCCTCCTCCTGGCACAGACAGGCTGCCCCAGAGCAGCATCCAGAGCCTGAGCCCTCTGTGTGAAGACTCTTTTCCCAGTGTCCAACCTGCAGTCTGCCCCGCTGCAACCGGAGACAGTTCATCCAGGAGATGGGTTGGTAGAACTGTCCTGCATCCATGGGCACTGCTCTGCACCTACATCTGTGGGTACTGCTCCTGTATCAATGGGTTCCACCCCTACATGTGTGGATACAAATCCTACATCCATGGGTAACGTCCCTACATCCCTGGGTACCACCTCTACATCCCTGGGTACCACCCCTACATCCCTGGGTACCACCCCTACATCCCTGGGTACCACCTCTACATCCATGGGTACCACCTCTACATCCCTGGGTACCACCCCTATGTCCATGGGTGCCACCCTACATCCTTAGGTGTCACTCCTACATCTATAGATACCACTCCTGCATCCATGGGTACAGCTCTTACATCCATGGGAATCACCCCTACATCCATGGGCATCACTCTTGCATCCACAGGTGTCACTCCTGCATCCATGGGTATCATTCCTACACCTATAGGTATCATTCCTACACCTATAGGTACCACTCCTATATCTATGGGTACAGCTCCTGTATCTATGGGTACCACTCCTGCATTGCATCCATTCATCTGCCCACAC